TGTCATTGCGTGTAGGCTTACGTATATATTTTGGACCATAAAACTGAATACTAGTTTTGCAAAAATAGTGTAGACTATCTCGTGCAATCCTAGCTGACATCCTAAAACTCTCGTCCAATGCATAAGGAGGAATGCCATATTAGGGATGGCAAAAAAAAAAAAACCGAACCCGGTGGTAAAACCGAAAACTGACATAATATGGTCGGGTTTTGGGACAGTTAATCGAGGCCGGGATCGGGTTTGTTATGCTTTTAGAAAAATTTTACGGGTTTGGTTACGGGGATGGTAAACAAAATACCCGTCCCGATTACCCGAACCCGAAACCAAAACCAAAACCAAAACCCGTTCATATATATATATATATATATATATATATATATATATATATATATATATATATATATATATATATATATAGGTGAGTTCAATTGAGAAAATAAAAAAAGGTTGAGAATGGGGAAATCATTCTCAGCCACTCATTTAATCTAAGCATAAAAGACACGGTGACAAACTTGTAAATATCGTAATAACCTTCAATCTCAAATACGTAACTATAGAGAATTCGATAACTGTTCGTTCATCATCAAAAAATTTCCTTCAACCTTCAATAATCATCCAGATTTCTTCAACTAAACCGGAATTTCTTCGCTGTTCATGAAATTGGAATCGGAGTTCTGGACTCGCAATCACAGTCGACATTGAGGTGCTTAGAATCGGTACTCACAGGTTCCCAATCGGATTTTCGGAAATCAAAATCAACTTGAGAAATCGATCAGAGATAGGATGTCGCATCTGAAGTCGAAATCGGAAGTATATGATGATTTGGAATTGATAACTTGATGTTTTTAACATTTTTAAAATAGTTAACTTGTTTGCACTCCAACTGTTTGATGAAATGCATACACTAAATTACCACGTTATATTCACAGATGAATATGTTTTCTCACCTGAATCAGTATATGATTATTAAAAACACAAAACAAATATGTAAGTCTGTATGTTATTCATATGTGAATAACATATAAAAATTATATATATTTGTCAAAATACCTTCAATATTCATAAGTGAATATACCTTGTAATATTCATATGTGAATATACTGTGTAATATTCATAAGTGAATATATCATCTAATATTCACAAGTGAATATACTTTGTAATATTCACATGTGATATACCATGTAATACTATGTAATATTCACATATGAAATATCATTTAATACTCATAAGTGAATATACCCTCTAATATTCACAAGTGAATATACTATGTTAATATTCATAAGTGAATTCATCGTCCAATATTAAAATATGAATATACTATGTTTATTATATACTATATTCATATATGAATGATACTTAAATTGTAAAAAAAAAATCATACTTTTTATTCATAAGTGAATAACGAATGTACTGTAATAAAACCTGATGCATTGTTATTCATTTATAAATAACGATAGCTGAAAATATATATATAAAAAAAATTTATTTTATCTTAAAACTATATCAATATGGATGTCTATTTGTAGAGAATACAAAATAATGAATTTTGGTATATTTAAAATCATTTTTTGATAAAAATAACTTATAAAAATTTAAAAAAGAAAAACGAAAAAAACTATGTTTTGTATATATTAAGGTAATGATTAGCATAGTTTAAGCAAATATGTTATGTTGGAAAACACATGTGCATTCGTTTCTCATTTCCGCCGATACGTTGGAGCCTATTGCGGCAAAAATAAATGATTCCCTCATTCTCAACCTTTTTTTTTCTCAATTGAACCCTCCTATATATATATATATATATATATATATATATATATATATATATATATATATATATATATATATATATATATATTAATTTCCTTGAGTTATCTTCTTTGTTGTGAACTATTTAAAGATAGTTTCCTGTTTATTTGTAGTACTAGTGTTTTAATATTTTATTTATTCATAGTACTTAGAGTAATACTGATATTACGGTTTATGAATGCTATTCTCTTTATTTTTTTGTCACTAGTAACTACTTATGTATCAGAACAAATACGTCTGCTCTTAATCGTTTTTTAAATTATCAAAATTATTTTAGATATGAATTTATGCTTGCATCACTAAGTCTAATGGTTTTGCATTCTTATTGCATCAAAATTATTCTTAATTTGAATGTTAAACGAGGATCTCCGTTACCCTGTTGGGATACCCGTAAAATCGATAGTATTTGGTAAACGGGTACCCGTTGGGAATCGAGTCGGTGATGAGATCGATTTTCATATTCGGGGACAGTGATGGGATTATCAAAACCCGTCCCAAACCCGCCCCGTTGCCATCCCTATGCCATATGCTAGTTCACGAAGTGCAAGTGTGGATTTTTGTAAAGGAGTGAAACCGGGTGTACCTCTAGCATCAGGCCGTTGCTCGAAAAAATCACACTCCCTCGTTAGATCTTCGACTACACGTTTGTACATTGGTTTGAACATTCTGAAGCGCCTTCTGAAGTAGTATCATTGAAAATTGTCATTTTCTTGAAAGTAGTATTGTATCAGACGTTGGTTTGCATCTTCATGATTTCTACAAATAAATCTTCGGGTGCTTTGTTCAGCATTGATGGATGCCCTACTGCATACCGCTTCATACGTTTGTACTGCAAATTTAGCAGCAGCGACAAAAACATCGAACATAACATCAAATTTTTCAGAAGAATCGGGCGAAGACATTTTTTTTGATTTTTTTAGATGTAATGTAGTAGAAAGATAAAAAAAAATGAAGAGTTAAAGAGGTTTAAATAAATGTTAAAGGTTAAAAGGAAAAAAAAATAATAAAAATTTAAAAACCCAAATTATGACCGTTTGCAATGGTCAAAATGACATACCAATCAAAATCAACCAATGAACGGTCCCTCCGAAAGCTGTATTGCGGCTTTAGCCGCACCTGGACCACACACAAGGACGGTGTTGTGCTTATATGGCAAGGAGAGTGCGGCCTCAGCTCGCAGCCACTCCGCATGGGTCTTAACATCCTCTTATGTTTATTCAACGATATGCAAAGTAAAAGTTTAATATCATCAAGTACACATAACATTAAACGAAGGTGAACAGCTTAACATGGTAAAAAAATATTTATTTCATTTCCGATCCTCTTATGTTTATTCAATGATATGCAAAGTAAAAGTTTAATATCATCAAGTACACATAGCATTAAACGAAGGTGAACAGTTTAACATGGTAAAAAAATTATTTATTTCATTACCGATCCTTTTATGTTTATTCAATGATATGCAAAGTAAAAGTTTAATATCATCAAGTACACATAGCATTAAACGAAGGTGAACAACTTAACATGGTAAAAAAAACATTTATTTCATTACCGTGGCATATTAAGCTACAAAAAAAATAGGGGTACACAAAAAATGACCTTCAATAATGTGGTGCTATTAATCTACTTAAAAAAAATAGGGTACACAAAAAATGACCTTCATTAACGTGGTGCCTATTAATCTACTTAAAAAAAATAGGGTACACAAAAAATAACCTTCATTAACGTGGTGCATATTAAACTACTTAAAAAAATAGGGATTATCACAAAAGGGGCCTTTCAAAATGGCAAAATATCTAATATCTACTATCTAGCCGGCTTTTAACTAACACATTGTCCGAAATTCCATATTTTGGACACGTCTTTCGGATTTTGGATTTTAGAAAAATCATTTTTATGGACCAATTATCTAGAAGAATATTAGCGATACACTAGAAATCAAAGTGGCTCAAGCTTACAAATTTTTGAGTGAAAACAAAGATATCAACAATTTTGTAGATGTTATGTGGTATTCAAACCAACTTTTCTATTTAATGGGCCGATAAAAGCCTATGTAAAACATATTTTCCAAATAAAAAGTAAGATTATGGATATTTTAAGTGGTTAAATGGACTACTTAATGATGGACATAGTGGAGCAGCAACAACCGTCGGTCGTGTACGGTATCGTTGGCTACACCGACCTTCGTTGGGCGGTACCGCCATTTGAAGGTGTATTTAGGTTTATACCTAAACCGTCACATTGTTTCTCTTTTATTCTCTCTTGTTGACCTTTTGACCAATGGTCAAATTTCAATTTAAAAAAAAATCTTTTTTACCCATTATAAATACAACTTTCTACTACTTTAAAAACCACACCTTTTCTCCCATTCCATTCCAATTCTCTCTCTAAATCCAATTTCATTTCAAATAATTCCACATCACTTTAAACAACAATTTGGGGGTTAGAATCATTCAACACATCCAATTAATTCCAAATGGAAGGATACAAGGGCAAAAGTTAACGAGTTCGAAAAGAAGATTATAGAAATACAAAAACAATTGAATAAGATAACTGGATAGCTTCATATCGAAACCATTGTTTAAAAACCAATTGAAGCAAACAACTATAGCATGATAGTTCTAGTTAGGGTTATGATTTTTTTTTTTCATGTGGCTTTCATCAATTTAGTGTTTGAATATTTTGATATTGTTTAAAACTAATCATGTAATCATATGAGGGCATTATCCTAATTGTCGTATGTTTGTAAGATTCTTGTATTGTTTTGTTGAGACGGATACTTTGAATTAAATTGCTTTACAATTAGATAGACAATACTATAGTACTATACGTTGTTGGAAAAAAGCAAAATGGCTAAAAAAATTGATTTATGAGATTACATTGTGGCTAGAACCGAAATCCCTCATTTCTATTCATTGTAATAGTGATACCACTTTGGGTAAGGCATTTAGCCAAATATATAATAAGTCTAGACACATCAGTGTTAGACACAACATGGTTCATAAATTAATCATGAACTGAGTGATATTTATAGAGTTTGTTCGTTGTCAACAAAACTCAATCAACCACTTGATAAAGGGGTTAGCTAGAGACTTACTCCACAAGCATGTGATAGGATCGGACTAAAGTCCACTTAAATTTTCTAATGATGAAATACCAAATTTCATTCTAATACAAATAAGATAAACAACTTTTGGTTTCCTAAATATTTAATCATTTATTGATCCCAATTGTTTAGATCCCATCTCCATTTCTCAATAAGCTATATTACAATCATACAATCATACATTCATCCCAATTGTTCATACATGCACAAAACACAGAGATTCTGCAACATTTATATACAGAATCAACTTCTTGTCTAGTTTTTTTTTATTGACATAAATACACAAAAACCAAGAAAAAATCACATGGGAAAGATTTACAAAAGGTTATTACTCCCCGTAACCTCATAACCACATGTAACAAGATTCCTCATACCCATAGTATCTTAAGAACCTGGTATTAAGGTATATGTCAAAACAAATAAAATTCAGAAAAAAAAGCATTATTTAAAAATATTTGAGAAATGATGCCATACTTGGGGAAATAAATAAATAGAAAAAATAAATGAGTGAATATCTGTAAAAAGTTAAGACATAACAGTGAAAGCATGACTTTCTTTATTAAGTCGTTCTTTCTGTATTAAGTCAAAATCAGATATTTTTGTGTGGATTTATAAAAACATAATGCATATAATGCTTGTTTGGACATATAAAATAGTTATCAACAAATAATAGATCTAGGAAACTCACCGTAGTTCTGCTTCACCTTGGTGTATTTGTTGATGGCTTTCAAAATCAAACCAAACTTCTTGTTCTTCAATGATCCCATGTGTCTGTCACACATTAAAAAAAAAAAGTCAAAAAAGTCAACTTCTTTTTTCAATCCAAATTCTACTAAAATAAAGGTGACTAGACTTACACCATCTCTGTATAACGAATACGCCATGCTGGAAAACCAAGGTGGCACCTCGTGGGCCCATAAATTAGTATAAGATCAGGATCTTGCTCATTAGAACCTAGTAGTACGTTAAACAATGATGTCACAATTATATTTTCTTTAGTTTTTTTTTTACCATACACACAAAAAGAACGAAAGTAAAAAAAAAAAAAAATACCTAGGATCCTTAGTGCTTCGGTCAAATAGGTTTCAGTAAAGAATGGTTTTTCTGAATTTGGATCAGAATAATACTTTTTATATAGCAGATTAGCTGCTTTAGCAACTGCTTCTTTTCCATCAACAATTGATACGAATTCAAAATCCATTTTCCTTTTATGATTAGTTTCTGAATTCTCCTGCATCAAACCGATTTTAAAGGATTATATCATTGTACTTTCATTCATTTGTATAATACTATATCAAGATTCAAGAATATACCATAGAATCAAATTTCTCCAACAACAATTCCTTGGACTTCTTCAACACTCCTACATACATACATACATGTTATTATGTTATGTGATGTATTAGAAGTATAGTTATAATAAAAATAAAATGAATAAGAATTCATATAAAAATTTACCTTCTCTATCATAAAGGCAAACCTTTTTCACACCAATATCTGAAATCCACTCCAAAAGTTCAATAACTTTTGATGTTTCACGGGCTTCATCACTATCAACCACAATTCCAAGATACTTCACTCTGTCTAAATTCAGATCTTCATATGTTTTCACAATTCCATTTGCTATAAGATAGCTTTCAATTGCACGTATCTTCTCCCAAACAAAGTATATGACTTTGAGAATTAAATGAAGAATGTGCCACAACAACAGAAGTATCATGTGATCATTCTGAACAATAAATTGAATACAAATGAACACATATTATTTACTAATAAAATAACAAGAAAACGGAAAGGATCAGAACTCTTATTAGCATTTAACAATGAAATTAGAAAGAAGAATAATATATACCAGTGAGATTTTGTGTAAAATCTTCTGGGGTCCACCTACGAGATCCATAGTCTGCAGACAAGAAACTAATCATACACTTGAATATGAAAATAACTACACACTTCTGGTGAATTTTCACTTTTATTCATCTAGAAAAAGGTTTAACACTAAGCAGATTAAAAACTAAAATAGGTAATAGTATTTAAAATATATAAAAACCCAAGCAATTCTTAAAAGCTTCAAGTGAAATAAGAAAGAATGATTAAAAACTAAAAGAAAGTAATGAAAAGGCAATATTAAAAGAAAGAAACAGTTTATAGTTTAAATAGGTAATCAAGGCTTTGGATTTTATTTATTTGTTATATTATTATTATTATTTGTAATTTCATCAGGCACCCTACGTGTTTTATTGCAATCCATGGAACCTTTAAGGCTTTGTTTATAAAACAATCGCAAGAAAATTAAGACTAACATCATTATTAAACAAAATAAAGTTGTAAAGTGGTAGTTAAGGCAGTTAGAAAGTGAACAACCCTCAAAATTTTCTGACATAATAAACATGGAAGAAGAAATAAAAGATCAATAAAATTCATGAAAACATTACATTCAAGTTTCTTACTTTCTTCTTTCTCAAACAATTAGATACCACAATTCCTGTTATACGTTTATTGTTCTCGGAGAAAAAAACCCAATAACTATATCAAAACATTGTAAAAACTACAAAAAAGACAGTTAGATGGGGTTAAAAATCTGAAAAATAAGCATGATAATAACAAATTTTGGCACGTTAAATTTGAAAAGAAAAGAAAATTTCCATATAAATTGTTAGAATTGCCACGTAACTTGATGAATCAAAACTCTATTATCACAAGAGATACAAAGTAATCGCACAAAACAAGGTAACAAGAGCAAAAAAAAAACACGAATCACAAATGCTGAAGAAAAAACCTTGAATCAAAGGTAATATAGCGAGATTAAAGAGTATCCGAGGGGAGAATTAATCAGTATTGAGTCTCTCCTCTTGGCTTCTTAATCCAATTCTGCCTCTCCGGAATTGAAATTGAAAATGAAATTAAACAAATGAGGTTTATATAAGGGGGTTGAAGGAAGGTGTATGTGAGTCAAAATGCGACAATAAGTGCTTCCATTGGTTGAAGAAAAGTGGGCATTGAGCTTCGACTTTGGAGCTCTCTGCTTCTTGCAAATAACAATGGATGTGGTCTATCTTCTAGACTCTACTGAACGATTTGGTAGGTCCCGCTAGAAAATACAATATGTGTGCGAACTGCAAAAACATGTGTTAGATAAGGGTGACACATGTAAATTGTGAGAAGGGCAGTAAACTACAATAATAGTCCTCCAATATATTCTTAATTTACCATACTAGTCCATGTACCTTTTTCTTTTGCCTTTATGATAAAAATTGTCAAGAAAGATATGACACGTCATGCGTCATGCACATGACATTCATCAAGGACGTTTTGGTCTATTTGTTAGGGATGAGTAAAAATCGAAAAAAAAACCGACATAACCGAAACCAAAGCAATAACCGACGGTTTAGGTTTGAATTTTACAAAAACCGAAAAATAATGGTTTGATTCGCTTTTGACGTATAAAACCACCCATAAAAGCCGAACCGACCCACACATATATTATTTATATTATGATTTACACTTTTAGTTTTACACTTTAGACTTTATCTCTTTAATATTTTATATTTATTTTCAACAAACTGTTAATGGTGTGAAACTTTGATCTTTTGAACATTTTTATTTTTTTTATAATACTAGAATTCGTACTCTTTATTTTAATATATTTAAAGTAGATAAAATAGTATTTATCGCAATGTATTTTCACTAGGTTTGAACCCAAAGACTAGAAAAAAAACAGGAGCTCATAAACCCACGGTTTAAAACCGAAAAACCATAAACTCAACCCGGAAAACCGAAAAACCGAACCTATATGGTTTTAAAAATCGAACAACCGACTTTCTACGGTTTGGTTTGGTTTTAACCAAAAACCGACCCAAACCGACCCATGCTCATCCCTACTATTTATTCGTCTTCTCCTTCAACTCGTTTTTATTTGTTTACTTGTTTCCTTGTTTTGTATGGGTTTTGTAAATCATATTATAAAACATGAAAATTAATTATATTAACAAACTTTTTTTTTGCCTGTTTGGTATAAGATGCAAGATTTTATGAAACTAGACTAAACAAAAGTAGATTCTGAATTGGCTCATATTCAAATTTTGTTTTCCCTAAAACCAATTTAATAATGTTTTAACCCCCAAAAAAATTTAATCTCACTTTTCTTCTATCATGACAAGCAACACTCATATCATTTTACCTCTTTAACATGTCATTGTTACTTATTTACATGTATAACCATTTACTTTACAAACACTAAAAGCAACTTATCGGTTTGTTGTATTTTGATACTATATAAACTAATCCAATCCTAAAATATATTTTGGTACCATATAAACTAATAAATAATTTTACAAAAAAACATAGGTCGTTTAAAATAAGTAATCCCAACAACCCCTAAATTTTTTTAAGTGTTTTGATAAAATAAAACAAAAAATATTTGATGACTTAAATAAGCATTTCCTTTTAATAGAGTTTATGACATAGAGAAACCAGCTGTGATAGAAGAGATCATAGGATATACGCAAGTATAACATGTTTTCAAATCTAGATCCAAGATGGGTCTCGTTGAAGCTTGTGAATGATTAATGAACTTATTCATGTAGCATTACTGCAAGACACAAGTTAATTAATACACACACTATCATGATACACTATCATGATTTAGTTATGAATTCTAGTGTATGACGGTGGAATTTTGATGAATATCCAAATAGTTTTCCAATAAGGTGTTTGGGTAAGGTTTTTGTAAGAGTGAAACAAAATTAATAGATTTTCGACGAATATCCAAATAGTTTTCAAAGCATGTATATGTTGTCGAAGGATAACCTTAAAGATAATAATTAGTTAAAGATAATAACATACATGGATAACAAATTATTTGAAATGTCTATAAAAGTAACGTTCAATTATAACACCTTGTTCCCAAGTTTTAGAAAAGAAGAATATAACACAATGTTTTTTAGTTTTAGCAAAGTAGAAAAAGAATGGGAAAGACAATAAGGATTGTATTTTGTGTTCTAAAGAAATGAAAAGAAAAGTTGAACATTTTAATTCTTTCTTTCTAAATCCTTCTAAATTGGAAGGAAGGTTAAGAGATAAAATTTTCCTTTAATTTCCTGCAATTTCTTTCTATTTTCTTTCATTAATAAAACTCAGGAACACATTTTTTTTTTATTTCTTCTCATTTCCATTAATTTCTCTTATTTTCCCTCCTTAAGTTGTACTTGGGAACATGGTGTAAATGTTGTAACTAGGTAACAAACTTCTACCAAAAAGGATCAAACGGTAATGAGTGATCCTCTCAAATAAGAGATCATGTGTTCAAGTGTATTAGGAGACATAAGTGGTATTTATGAGTAGGTTTAGATACTTTGTTGTTTCAAAAAAAAAAGTTAACAAACTTCTATTTTTATTTTTAAAAGACCACTCAACTGCCAAATGTAAAGGTGCAATGGTCGTGAAAGGGTGCGATAGTTGAATATATATATATATATATATATATATATATATATATATATATGTGTGTGTGTGTGTGTGTGTGTGTGTGTGTGTGTTAAAGATCAAATAAGAACAACTAAGGGTTAGGAACCATTTAATAACTCGTTTCATTATGGGTATTTTTGCCAAAATACATTTCTAACATTAAACTCCTAATATTTAGCAAACATTAATCAAATTTGAAGTTAATTACATTATATCTACTCTTTTCTTTACATGATCCAAGAACACAACCCTTCCCTCATCTCCATTCTTCCACTTATGATGACCACCACAACCAACGACGACCGCACCATCGCTGACAGAGACTCCTATAACATCCCAAAAATCATGAAAAAAAATTTCATTTTTAAAAACCATCTTAAAATCCATAGATCACACAAAACATAGTTTCCAAAACCAAAAGTATAAATCAGAGTATCCCAAAATCATAAGTCAAATAAATATTCAGGATGATGTGCACAATCACGCCTTCGCCTTAACCTTGTCCTCTGTTGTACCTGAAACCATAAAAATATAACTGTAAGCCAAAGCTTAGTGAGTTCTTCCAAAGTACTCCACACAACAACATAATACAATGCACGCAACCATGCCTACAACATTAGTCTGGACCGCCACTGAGCCTTCAGCTACCAGCTAGACCGCTCCCGAGCCTAAAACATAAGGAATCTTGTCTTATGATGAGACGTGCTCCTTTGATGATGGTGACATTGAAGCATTTAAGGCTAGTGGTGCCTTCCCTCTTGAAGCAGTGTTCAGGCCTTATGACCCTTTGATCCAACCATGATTCATCTCCTCTTCTTGGGTGTGCTTTCTGGAGTATCCCTTCTCTATTTTAGGCCTTAAATTCCCATTTTACGGAGTGGTCTCAAAGTTTTTCAGGATCACGAAACTCTCTTTTGTCCAAGTGATTCCTATCATTTGGAGGATCGTATACTGGGTTGAGTGTCTGAATCATACACAAGATCTTGGCATAGGTATGGCTGAAATGGCCCATGTCTATGATCTCTTAACTTTTGGCAATCCTCGCTTCCTGTTCAAGGTCAAGAGTGGTAATCCTCCTCTTGTGTTAAAAACAAAACACACTGATGGGGCTTGGAAGGGGAGATACTCCTTTGTCAGGCGTGACTCTATTCCTGGCGGAGATCTCTTACCCAAAGATTGGGTTAAGAATGGTAGGATTTCAATACTTTTCCTTATGATCCTGAAATCTTTTGCTTATTTTGTTTTTTCTGTTACAGGTTTCAAGCTCGCGGAGCTCATTGCTGCTGCTGAGGACATAGAGGATAAGATTGCTAATTTTCTTTCTCTCTCAGAGGCAGATATATCTCTCAGACTTGATCACTCCAGTATCCAAGAAGGATCTTCCAACACAACTTCTATGGCTACATGTATATCTTTCTTTCTTTTTGATTTTAATTGTTGTCTTAGGATCTTCGATCTTATCAGGATCTTTATTTCTTGTGTAGGTTCCAGGACTGTCCGCTCCAGTGCTCGCTTTTCTTTGGCTGACCTTGAGGATGACATTACCAGTGGATTAGTCAAGATCAAGCAGGAGAAACCCTCTGTTCCGCCTCCTTCAAAGAAAGCCCAGCTTGACCTGGTTGTGAAGACTCAGGATCCCGAAAGAGGAAGACTTCTGAGGCCAAAAATTCCATCGTAGAGAACCTTTGAGGATGCTCTTAGATAGTTGACCTCATTTTCCCAGGCTGTAAGTTTCCTATGTATAAGAATTATTTATATTAGTTTAACATACATGTTTCTTCTTTTGCTAATGTTTGGGCTTCTTTCAGGTTTCCAATCATGTTTCTCAGTTCACAAATGATCTCGGATCCATGCTGAGAAAGCCGAGTCTGCTCTAAAAGAGAAGAAGAAAATCTAGAGGGCCACTTATGAGGATCTTCTTCGGAGTGTGGAGATGTTGAGAAAACAGAAGGTTGAGAAGGAGAAGGAGAATTTTGCGAAGCTTGAGGAGGTGATTGCCGATGCAAAGGCAAGTGTTACAGTAGCTATCCTGGAGGATAAGATCAAGTTGGCGGAGGATCTTGAGCATTCATGATCCTGGAATGTGGTAGGATGGCACGAGGCACTAGCCAAACTAACTGGAAAGCCTATCACCACTGCTGAGGATCCTACACTGCAGCCAGAAGTGGAGAAGGAGGAGAAGAAGTCCGATGATGACCAGGATAAGGTCTAGGCCTTTTAGGTGGTTAGGATAGTGTAGTTTTTTATGTAACCATTTGACTCCTGTAGGGTTGTAAGCCTTTTATTTTGAATACAATGGTTAATATTTCCTTTATCTTTTTGTGTTTCCTTTACCCGCATAATATGATACTAAGATCTTTGCATAGTTAAGATCCTAAAAATAGGGAATAATTTTCAAGATAAAGTTCTTTTGGTAAATAATAGATAAAATGATTTGATAAGAATTGAATTAGTTAAACAACTAAAAGCAATAACTTAAAACATTAAGAACTGACTTTGTTAAGAAACTTTAAAAGTTTGATGACTGACTTGCAATCCTTAAGAGTTTCAAATAATTTTTATAATAAAATAGGTATAAAAGAATTTTTTTAAGAACTAATTTTGGTAAATCTAAGTGCTTTAAAAATTCTTTAAAAATATCAATTTAAAATAGTAAATGACTCTGAAGTGATGAAAGTCTACA